AGAGAGAGAGAGACAGAGAGAGAGAGACAGAGAGACAGAGAGAGAGACAGAGAGAGAGACAGAGAGAGAGAGAGAGTTCATAAATATATGAATACCACCCATTCAGTCTCTTTAGCATTACCTGTAATGTATGAGATTTCAGGGCTGACCACTTGGTATTGTTTAATCAAATAAATGTTCATACCTCAGGAAGACTATTTCTCCCACTCTCAGTGTGTTTGGTTGCCTAAAGTTCTCTGTCTAGAGGCCAGGCCCTATGAGATTTCCCTTTTCCATGTTAGCATGTCTACAGGTGTTGTCTTTGTTCAGGTCTTTTTAGACAGCCGTTATTGAGGTATCATGGGTGAAGTGTTCTTGTTTTTAGGAGACACAACAGATTTTCTAGTCCTCTAGCTGTTAACAGTCTTTCCACTTGCAGGGTGTGATGGTGCATGCCTTTAACTCCAGCACTTGGGAAGCAGAGGCAGGTGGGTCTCTGTGAGTTAGTTCAATGTCGGCCTGGTTTACATAACAATCTTTCCACTCACCCTTCCACAAGGTTCCCTGAGCCTTATGTGAAGGAGTTGGTACAAGAAAAATTTTAAGAATCATTCTGGAATACTCATAGTTAAAAAACAAATAACAACCACAAAAAAAAAAATCAGCGTTCCATGAGTCTTCTTTTTGCAGAGTGATCAGTTTTCCCTTGTGATGACTGATTTGGGCTGTCTGCTCAGATCGTGAGTCACTTAGGAGATTCATGAGTCATACTTCAGAGTATGTCTGTGCAGACATAATCAGATCATGTTGGTCCTGAGTAATGAATGCATTAATCTCTTGAGGGATTCATTCATATGATGGGATTGTCTGGAAGTGTTGAAAATGAGGAGTCCGTGTCTAGTTAAAGGAAGTAACTCACAGAGGTCATGTCTCAGGGGACAACATCATGTCCTAGCTTCTTCTCACATGCTTCTCTGCTTCTTGTCTGCCACAAACAGGCCCCTCCTTATACACTTTTATCATCACATTGTTCTGCTTCACTAGCTCCTCCTTACACACTCCTATCATCACATTGTTCTGCTTCTCAGGTTCTCCTTACACTCCTATAGGTGGAGTTTTCTGTCCCACCAGTCAGCTCCCAAATAACCACAGGGAGACTTCTTATTTATTACGAATATCCTGCCAATAACTTAGGCTTGTTATTAACTAGCTCTTAAATCTTAAATTAACCCATATTTCTTATCCTCATTCTACCACGTGGCTCTGTATCTTTCTGTAACATGGCATGTTCATCTTCCTTCTCTCCACATCTCCAAGTCTCCTTGAGACTCCACCGCCCTTCTTCCCAGCATCCTCTCAGTCTGGCTCTCCCACCTAACCTCTTCCTGCCTAGCTATTAGACAGTTAGCTCTTTTAAAACCAATGAGAGCAACACATCTTCACAGTATACAAAAGGATTATTCCACAACACACGCCTACCGTCACATTGTTCTGCTTCACAACTGTCCCAGAAACACAAAAACATAAGACCAGGGACTGGACTGTAAGCATTACAGCTTGGATGGAAAGGTATCCTAGCAGTTGGGAGGCAAAAAATACCACAAAGTCACACCACACAACAAACCTTGCACAAGAGATTTATTGGGAGGCAGATAAACAGGATGGTGGCTGCCTCTGCTCCAGCAAGAGAATACTATGGGGGTAACGTGGCAGTTGGAGGTCCTCAGAGGAGAAGACTGACCACTGGTGTGGCTAGAGGGACTTACATTGGACCCTCAGAAATCAGAAGCCCAAACAAATAATTCCTCCCTGAATTTGTTCTCTCAGGTTCTGTGCCACAGAAAAAAAGAAAAGTAATAATGCCAAGCATATACTGTGTGTGATCTACCATGTAGTACTGATGCAGAGGCGGGGACACCAAGTATCAAGACTCCTCTTGAACCTCCAGAGCTTGAGATTATGTTCAGACTATAAATACTGATTCCAAAAATATGGAGGGCTTTCAAATACTATGCCTCAAGAATTCCTGATCCTTAAATCAACATTATGGGTCTCTGTAGTTGGAGTTTTCTCCAGTCCTGCTCAGACCCACAGCCAATCAGACCCAAATAAACACACGGATGCTTATATTATTTAAACTGTTTGGCCTAATGGCTCAGGCTTCTTGCTATCTAGTTCTTATATCTTAAATTAACCCATTTCTATTAATCTATAAGTTGCCACGTAGCTTGCGGCTTACTGGTACCTTACATCTTCCTTCTCATGGCAGTGTCTCCTGACTCAGTCTTCCACCTCCCAGAATTCTCCTCTTTCCTTATCCCACCTACATTATACTTCCTGCCTGGCTACTAGCCAATAAGCATTTTATTTATCAATCAATCAGAGCAACACATTCATAGCAAGTGGTGGATTTAACCTTTCTAATACATTAAAAAAAAAAAGAGGTTTCTGGGTGACATGCTACTAGAGGTCTCTAGCTTGGCTCCAACAAAAATTGCACAACAAGACAATTTCCCTGTCTGACCTGCTTTTGAGAAGCAATTCCAGCAGAGAGTTGCCTATTCAAAAACTAAGAGTAGAAGTAGAAAAATCTCAAGAATCTAACTTTTATTCTTCCAAATCTGAGAATTTGTTGTCTGGATAACATAGTTACACAAGTGTACTTTATTAATTGTCTACTTAAATTCATACATTCTCTTTATTATCATTTACAAATGCTCTACAGCTTTGTAACACTCCCCCACTAATGATCATCTAGATTCTGTCCATGGACTGTCTCATGGTATCCCTCATCTAAGCTGTGCTCTGCTTACATTGCTGTTTCTGTTTGCTATCAGCCTTCAAAACAGCTCCATTCTACATCTTAGAATCTATAGCTGACACACCACTTTTAATTATGCACCTCATAGGGTAGCTTTAAAAATTAAATTAGGCAGTCAAAATAGTAAAACAACACATTCTTAAATTTGCAGGTTGGTTATTATTATTATATTACTTATGCTCATTGTAAAGTATGACATTCCATTTCGTTATCATACCCTTTCTCCCCTAAATGAGGATGGATTTTATTTTTCCAAAATTTTTCAATCTGCTTTTTTTTTTCACAGAATGTATTAGCAATAAAACTTAGGTGGTTGAAAGTGGGACATTGAAATCTTGACAAATGCTACATTTTTATACTCTGTAATTTCTTAACCATGTTCAGGTAGTAAAACATTCAGGACCTTTCTTATCAAGAGATTTATGATACAAAACAGTTGTTAAAATATCTGTCAAGGCAATAAACTGCCATTCCAAGAAATAACTAGGTGGTCTTGACCTTAAGATCTCATGTGAGCTATAAATCTAGGGAGAAGATGGTTTACAGCCAGTCATCAATCTGTAGATGTGTTTCCACATAAATTCTAGAAGTGTTGTGTTGGCTCACAAATCTCCTCATCAAATATGATTGACAAGCTTCTAAAGTCCAAACTGTGCAGACATATCAAACAATCTACATATGAGTATGTTAGAAGTTAATGTGAAGCATCCAGCACAATTAGTAGCACTTACTAGCGGCTTAGACAAAGCGGATTATGGAAAGACAAGAACATTGAGAACATTGCCTTCTGCCTCGGGAGCCCAGAAAAGATACTGAGAAAGTCCTCTGAAGCAACAGAGGCAATTGGGAGACGGAGATGTGGGAAACGCCCCACCTCGGTGCCTTTCTGACACTGTTTCCTCTAAGCTCAGTTCCGGGTCTGCTCTGCAGCAGTCCAGTCTCTCAAACCCTGTGGGTGGAGAGAATTCTCCCACAGCGGGAGTCACGTTTCCTGTCACAGATATTATAGTTAATATCATCATATTCGCAACAATCCATGATCTTTGTGTTTCACTGATAGTGACATCCAGCACTCTCGGAATTTTCTTTTGACCCCCTTTCTCACTGCATTTCATTTGGCATTTCCTCTTCCTTTTCACTTACTCATTTTCAGCAGGCAAGATGAAATAAATGTGAGACCATGTTCTATTCCGCTAATAATCAATCTGATGTGTAATTGCAAGGCTATTTAGGGGGAAAAAAAAAAGCATAAGTATTTTCCGAACGAGAAGCTATACTCCCAAAGGCAAAGTGAATCTGGGGAGCCGAGGCACGCTGAAAGCAGTGCAAATTGATAAACATTCTGGCAAACAGCGTCAGAATTAACTATGGAATGATCCTATCCCACTCCCAAAAATATATCATGCCTTTGTGCCCTTGTAATCCCATTTGGAGAAAAACATCGAAGAGCCGAAGAGAAGGACAAGCTGTGATCATGGGTATGTGCGTTGCAGCATTACTCGCAGAGAGGAAAACCGGAAGTGACTGCGATGATTAATTGAATTACCTGTTTTTATATTATAGCACCTGTGTTCTTTCTTCCTGAGCCACAAATGCATCTCCAACTTGATACCTATTTAAACCCTGTGAAGTAAAGAAAACATAAAAAAATAAAAGCCAAAGCAAAGTTAGTGCTTCACTTTCAAAATGCATGTCAGCCGAAGGGTAATTGCTGTAGCTGGAGATGAGGCCGCACAATCAGAGATATAATAATAGCAAATGGTAGAACCCACATCCACGCCTCCGTGATCTTCTCCACAGACTGAGCGCTTAACCACCCCCCTCTCATGCCTCCCCATTATTACCCCTTCAAACTGTTCCCTATTTTAAAACATGACAGTTCAATGAGAAACTAAGATGCCCTGCATTAGGAATTCCTATTCACGGCTGCAGAAGGGACATACAAACTTAAAACTCTTCCACAGAACTTTTTTTAAAATCCAGATTCATGCTGTTTAAGAGATGAATGTCATTTTTAAAAATAATATTGGTGCTGCTTTTTCTTTGTTTTTATTTTTTATCCTGGTTTGTTTGGAGAGTTTTTTTTTTTCTATTTGCTTGTTTGTTTTCTAGAGAGAGAAAGAAGGCATGGAGTTGGAAAGGTGGAGATGTGGAGAGGCTCCAGGAGGAGCCAGAGGAGAGGAAACCATGATCAGAGTATATAGCATGAAAAAAAATTACTTTTGATAAAAAAGAAATTAAAATTACATCATTTCTTTTTTCCTAAAAATAAGCAAATGAATAAATTTTTCTTTTTTTGTAAATTCATGCAAAAATACTAATGTTTGGGAGGTGGTATGACAATCCTTATGATTTTAAACATGTTTTTAAAAATACATACCAGTAAAAGGGAAACACGAGAACTTACTTCAAAATATGAGATAGGAATTGTGTGGTGGTTTTATATGGACTCACGTATTTGAGCACTTACACCCAGTTTACGGAACTGTTTAGGAAGGATTAGGATCTGTGGACTTATTGGAGGAGGCTTGTCACCGGCAGAGGGCTTTGAGGTTTCAAAAGACTCATGCCATTCCAATGTGTGCTCTCTGCCTCCTGCATTCAAACCAAGATGTGAGCTCTCAGCTGTTCCTGCCACCATACCTTTCCTCTATCAGCGTGGACTCGAACCCTCTGAAACAGTAAGCCAAATTCCCACTGTCTTTTGTAGGTTGTCTTAGTCATGGTGTTTAAGCACAGCCACAGTAGAACCAATATCCAACAGTTATTGGGTGACCAAGACCCTAAGACTAGATAGCCCAGGGACCTGGGGCGAAACCAAATAATACTGGTCTTAAAAAAAATGTAGTGATAAAATGACTTCTAATGATATTCTGCTACATCAAAGAAGCTCCCTCCTGCTGCAGATGGGAACAAATATAAAGACCCACAGCCAGACATTAGGCAGAGAGTAAGAGACCTTGAAAAACTCAGCCCTAAATGGGATGTTTCCATCAAATCCCTTCCCCTCGGAGCTCAGGGAACCCTGTGGAAGCGGAGGTGGAAAGAGTTAAGATCCAGAGGGGATGGAGGACACCAGGAGAACAAGGCCCTCTAAATCAACTGAGCAAAGCTCATATGATCTCAGAGACTGAAGCAGCATGCACAGGGCCTGCACGGGTCTGCAGCAGGTCCTCTGTGTGTATATTCTGTCTTCCAGTTTAATGTTTTTGTGGGATTCCTAAGTGTGCAAACCAGTGGGTCTCTGATTCTCCTGCCTTCTCTCGGAGCATTTTTCCTTCTGTTGGTTTATCTTGTTTAACTTTGATATGGCAGTTTTTGTTTTATTTTATTATATTTTATTTTGTTATATTTTTTTAATGGGTGAATGAATGAAAACGTGGCCACTAGTGTAAAGGTTAACAACCAGACTGTCACTTACACCCGCTGGGAGGAGGAAAAATCAATTTTCTCCTATGGAGTGACACTGGGTATATCAACCACTTTAGTGCAGGACTTATGTTCAAGAGTAGTTGACTAAGATATAATGGATTCCGCAATTCTTTTACATGATTTTATTTGGTCACAGCTTGGTAAGAGGGTTGGAGGGTGATTTTATTTTGTTTTCTTGTTTTTGTGGGATCTGATTGTTGTATTCAATTTTTGTTTGCTTTTTAAGAAAGAATTTAAATGTGGGTGAGTAGGAAGGGGGAGAAGATCTGGAAGGACTTGGGGGAAGGGAAGACCATGATCAAAATATATTTAAATTTAAAAATTATTTTAAATAATAAAAATATAAAAGAAAAAGAACTAAGGCAGAATATGTAAATGAAACAAGATAAAACACGAATTTGAAAATGAAGCATCTGGGGAATGAATAGATGAGGATTCATTTTGCTAGTTTTCCCCTCTGTAAGATCCACTTGATGTTTTCTATGATAAAATGTTCAAAATTCATCATAGGTGCACATTAAAGTTTGTGTGCAGAGCTAAGTATTGAATAGTTATGTAAAATAGTCAGTATTGGTCATTACTAAAATCCCTAGTCATGGTGAAAATCATCCAACAGTTTATGGTATACTTACATGCTTAAGCATTCATAGTCAGCAAGCATTCACATTTTCTCCAAAGGTTAGTTGATTATATTATAAAAATATCCATAATATAACATTAAGTAGGAAACTGTTTATCCATAGACAGAAGTCATTAAGAAACATGCTAAAATATTACCAACAGTTAATCTTAGCAAAGCACTGAGAAAATAAGTATGCAATGGTCATCTCTAAGTAGTCACAGATGGGTGTTTTTTTTTTCCTCTTAATCTGTACACATTTTCCAATATTTCTACCATGAAGGTGGACTGTTTCTGCTCATTTAAAGATCATATCTATTAAGGAATTTAAAGAACATAAAGAAATCTGTGTTCAAAGATTAAAGGACTCGTTAGAGAGTTGTGAGGTTTTTCTGCGCAGAGGATCACACAGTTCAGTTGTTCAAGCCCCTGTTGTAGAGAGATGGGGGCACATGTTCCCAATGGTTAGAGCTGGCAGCTGGTCAGCTGCTGGCTCCACACTCTACTAGCATCCTATAGTCGGTCGCTCGTGGCCCAGGTGATACACTGGCCTTATCCAACAGCTTCAATCCATTTACTTAGCATATGCAAAAAGATGTGGACAGACAAATGCTGATCTTTTAAAGAACCACAAAAGGAAGTGACTGAGCAAAGTCATGAACTATAGAGACAATCTTTATACTACATACATGGTGAAATGGTACTACTTCTAGGTACCTGGAGACAAAACAATTTAACATGTACCAATAATGGGAAAAAGAAAACAAACAAAACAAAACCAGCCTTAGGGTGGGTGATCATTGGCCTGAAAAAAAACATGGTAAACTTTGTATTGTTAAAAATATTCCTGGCCCAAACTCTCCGTCTTCTACCCTCATTCATATTCATAGATATGTCTAATGAAACATTGCCAAGAAACGGTGGGTGGACACATCTGGTTACTGTGTTACCAGAGAGGTCGTCACAGAGGAATGACTCCATGTGTGTGCTTGCCTCAGCACTACTGCTCAGGACACCTGGATCTTGTCTAAATTTCTGGATTTATCCTTGAGTTTAAAGTGGATGAAAAGGTCTTCCTCCCCAGTGATTCCCTGACCTATGAACATGGGAACTCAGCCGAAACTTTTTTAAAGGTTCCATCTCAAAAGAACAACTCAGGAAGAGGATGGACATTAAAATCCTTCAGTTGATGAGTTCTGAAACTTTCACATTTTCCCCCAACCATGGAAACAGTGCCTCCTATGTTATGGTGCCTTCAAACACTCTAATAAAATTTATGCTGACATCCAAAAAACATGTGACATCACTGGATATGTATGTATATGAATATCATTTTTAACTTTGTTCATCCATAATCTTACCATTTTGATATTTTAGCCAGGTGAATTGGTCAAAAATATCCACAAGGGACCAGTGAGGTGGTACAATATGTAAAAATACTTGTCATACAAGTCTGAAGACCTGAGTTCAATCCCCGGAACCTACATAAATGTGGAAGGAGATAATGACTCCAGAAAGTCATTTTGACCTCTGACCTCCACGCTCATGTACATACCACTCCCAACACACATACAATAATAAAAAGTTTAAATATAAAAATATATTTATGATATTTATTCTTGACCATACATACCTCTGACACCTATGAATCACAGCCTTGGGCACTATTCCACTCCCCAGCCTACAGAGCTCCTTCCTCTCCTGCCAGTACTCCAGACCTCAGCATCCTGGCTGCCCTATGCCTGATCATCCTTCAGACTCAGGAGGCACCATGACTGAGTTAGGGATGGTAGAGCCTGAAGATGGGTTCTGAACAAGCCCATACTGCAATTGCTGGCATCCATGGCTGCTGTCAATCTTCCCCAGCTTGAGGCTCCAATCTCCTGGCAGGTTCGCTAGTACCACCACCACCACATAAAGTGCACTCACAAACTAGCCTGAATGCCAAGGATTTCCTCAGATGCTTTTCCCGAGCAAGGGGGGTGGAGGGGGGAAGCTATGAGGATTCCAGAATTCAGGACTGAGAATCCCAAGAGCATCCATTGCTATTATGACACACACAGCTTAGATGCTGAGGATTTTTCACCAATATCAAAGGTGAGAGTCTTCTCCACAAAGCCATCCTACAAAATCTAGAAGAGATCATTAATCACACAGAAAATGCCCAAACTTCAACACAAGGCAATACGAGATATGCAAACTTAAGAACATAACACCACCAAAGAGCATTGTCTAGTAAGAAAGTCAGACATAGAAACCTACAAAACATTTTTGCTTCAAAAAGAAATCAAAACTATTCTTTTTAGAAAGCTTGGGAATTGAGAGTGTAATGGTGCACACTTCTAATATCAGCAATCGAACAAGAGACGGGCAAATCTCTGTGAACTGGAGGCCAATCTGGTCTACATAGCAAGTTCCAGGCCAGCCAGGGCTACAGACTGATATATTGTCTCGATAGATAGATAGATAGATTAGATAGATAGATAGATAGATAGATAGATAGATAGATAGATAGATAGATAGATAGATGATAGATAGATAGATAG